ATATAATATATAATAAACATAATAATACTATAATATATAATATAATTATATATAATGTAATATATTATACTATATAATATGATATTATATATTATTTATAATAATAAATAATCTATCATTTATTATTGATAGTTATTATTATTATTTCTGTATTATTATTTCTCAAACCCTGATCACCCTCTCAGATCACAAGATCACTGCCAGATCATCATGGCTATTTTGGAGCATTTTCTCCCTCGTGCTAAACGAGCTGCTGGGCTCCCCCCAGGGCCGTGTTCCCATCCCCACCAGGCAGCAAATCCGGCAACCTGGGATTTCCATCCCCCTGCCCCAGGCTCTCACCTCCCCGGTCCTCCCCTCTCTGCAGGTGACCAGGGAAGATCGGGATTTAAGGAACAACATAGAATCATAGAATCATAGAATCTTAGGGGTTGGAAGGGACCTCGAGAGATCATCTGGTCCAACCCCCCTGCCAGAGCAGGGGCACCCAGAGCACGCATCCAGGTGGGTTTGAATGTCTCCAGTGAAGGAGACTCCACAGCTTCCCTGGGCAGCCTGGCCCAGGGCTCTGTCATCCCAGCCCGCTGCCTGCCCGGGTCTTAAAACACCTCTATAATCTCTATGGATGGTTTTCCCCTCCCGTGTCCGGGTGAAACCCCGGCAGCCCTGAGCCCAAAGACAAAACCTCTGCTCACCCCAGGCGATGCTGCTCCTTGGGAGTGGAACATCTCCCTTATGAGGAAAGGCTGGGGGAGCTGGGTCTCTTTAGCTTGGAGAAAAGGAGACTGAGGGGTGACCTCATCAATGTTTACAAATATGTAAGGGGTGAGTGTCAGGGGGATGGAGTTAGGCTTTTCTCAGTGATGAGCAGTGATAGGACAAGGGGTAATGGGTGTAAATTGGAGCACAGGAGGTTCAAGGTGAATATCCGAAAACATTTTTTTTACTGTGAGAGTGACAGACCCTGGGCCAGGCTGCCCAGGGAGGTTGTGGAGTCTCCTTCACTGGAGACATTCAAACCCACCTGGATGTGTTCCTGTGTGATGTACTCTGGGTGACCCTGCTCTGGCAGGGGGGTTGGACTAGATGATCTCTCGAGGTCCCTTCCAGCCCCTAAGATTCTATGATTCTATGATTGGGAGGGTCCCAGCGCTGCCAAATCCACCGGGAAAATTCATGGGTGCGGCCCAAATAAGTCCCTGAAGGGGCCTTTCCCACAGGCACCATTAGGATGAAGTTTTCCCTTCGGCTGGGGCAGTTCCCACACGGGATGGAGGGGAAAAGGGGCCCATCATACTGGGACCATCACCTCCCAGCTGCTGGCGGGGGCTCTGGACTGGGGAGAAAAGGTTGGATCCAGGATGAGGGGGAGGAGGGATGAAGCAGGGACTTCACCCAAAGCACCGAGATGAGGTGGGGGACGGTGACACCCATCCAAAAAGGGAGCAGGATCCCCTGGGAAAGGCTCCCCCCGGGCAGCGGCTTAGAGGAGGTGACAGCAGAGCTGCAGGGGATGGGGACAGGGCTGGGAGGGGTGTGCTGAGGAGCTCACACCTCTCATGGGACCCCAAAAAGGAGGTATCGGGGTTACAGACCGAGAACTAGTTAAAGAGGAAGCAGGGGGGGCTTCTTCCAGCAAGGAAGTGAGGGGGGAGGTTGCAGGACTCAGTGCACCCCGGCCTGGGAAAAGCAACAAGGGACAGTTAAAATAGCAGCAGTTCCCTGTTTCTCACCCCAAAAGGGGCTGGGGGCGGGGGGGG